AATACAATAACAAAGCGTATGTTGTTGCTAAAATAAATCGGTTAACGGCTTCCAATTTTGGTGCCGTCATAAAAAGGAAACAATCTACATCTTGCGATTCATTGGTGAAATCAATTCTTTCAGAAAAGCGTTTTGTGACCGCAGCAACGGAATATGGCAAAATTAACGAACATGTAGCCATAAAGAAATTTGAAGAATTTACAGGCAAAAGTGTAGCTTCTGCTGGTTTATATATATATATCAACAGTGTGCTTATTTGGGGGCTAGCCCGGATGGTATTAAAAAAAATTTATTTATAAAATCCAAATTACTCGCTTATTGCATAGATAAAGCATTACAATGAAATTTTAGGAGTTATAAACGAAAATGAAATAATAGAAGTAAAGTGTCTCTACAAAGTGGCTACATCTGGGAAAAAATTAGAAGAAGCTGTGAGAAAAAAGGAGATGCCCTATTTACACTATGATGCCAACAATAAAAACATCCAACTTAAACAAAATCATCAATACTTTTATCAAGTATGTTATAAGCTGTGAAACATTAATCCTTTCCTCGTCATAATTCAAACTACAACATTTTTAGATTCAAGGTCAACTGGAAATTTGTGAAAAGGAGATTTGCTACTTTGTGGTTTATAGTGGAGATCAGAATAACCTCCATATAGAAACAATATTTAGAGATCGAAAAATATGGACAGAAATTATGTTTCCAAAATTAGAAAAATTCTATCGCTGCTGTTTGGCTCCTGAAATGATACTGAACAGGGGGTCAACAAATTTGAAATGTAGAGATCCTCCCTACATAATAGAAGCACAAAACAAAAAAAAGAAAGATTTATGTGTATATCACAATTGCGATTATTTAGGAGGTAGTTTATAGTTGGTGTTAATTAATTTTTACTGGTAAAATGTTTACGGTATAAAGTATATTATAACTTTGTGAAATGTGAATCTTTTTTTAGTCATATATATACTACAAACTATCACATAATTAATAATGCGTTTCACATTTTTTTCCTGCTCCAAATAAAATATATATTCTTCCTATTCAGCCTTTTATTTCTCCTTCACTCTTTATCCCGTTTATAATGCGGCGTTTATTAACGTAGGGTTGCATTTTACATATACATTACATGACTAGAGCTGTTTAAATTGTGTTGGTTGTCTGTATGCCCAATTTTTTGAAGGGATTAGTAATATATAATTAAAATAAGCAGCATTTACAAATATTAATATTGCACGGGTTCGGTTTGACAAGTGTGTGCTGTGAAATTATACTGAGTATTACAGTCTGGATAGAAAGTCGCTAACCCGATTTGTTCTGTTACTGTCCTACAGAAAATAATATGCTTTTCTACCTGCCATCAATTCATCTCTTTTTAATCATACCTATATCGGCGTAGGTTGATTATGATTACAAAACTTTGACATCGTTTTACTTCTTTCATCTTCACCAACAACTCAATGACGTTTCAGAGTATATATAATAAAACACGTTTCAATTTTATTTTTTCATAGAGGATAAAAAATAATTAATATAAAACAGATTTATATGTGCCTCAGCTGCGGAGGATTGTAAATACCTTTTGATCTCTTAAATAAAACATACTTAATAACTAACTTTTAACGTATCCATCTTTTTTACTGTTTTAGTACGTTATTTTGTCACTTCTAAAAACCGAAATGGTATTGTAAAATCGGAAATGCGATATCAAAATTTTATTCCGATAAATCGCTGAGTAGAAACACCTCCCCCTGGTGGACAAGGTCCACATTAAATTAAGTCTGCAACCAAACCAGAATCTAAGTAAACCTGTATTCTGCTACGGCATCATAGCTCGTTTAATGGCGATTTCTCGTTTCAACAGATTCTGTCATTTCGAGAGTTATTTACCTCAGTCGTGAATTTTTTAGGATTATAAATGGTATTAAAAGAAAGCTGACACTTTTCCCCAGGGGACCTCCTATCTCAGAATGCAAATCACTTCAGCACTTCTTCAAAAAATGCATCAATGTACCGGTTAAATCTGGTGTAAAAATTGGTCAACTTTATAATTTTTTTTTGTAAAAACTGCGGACTAGATATGAATATAAATATGGAGGTCCCCTGGACTCAAGTTTGTTAATTCGAAATATAATTTTTTTAAAGCGATATATCCCGTATTTTTAAAATGCAACTCCGGAAACCACGACGTTTTCAATGTATTTAGTATAGGGCGAAACCGATCCAGACGCGAGCCTTAAGACCGAGTGTTGTTAATAACATTTTAAACTAGCTGAAATATTACGAATTGATTTTATGGGAAAATAATTACTCGCATATTTGAAACACTAGGTACCCACCTTTTCGCAACTTTGACGTAATTAGGCAGGATTTGTTTAAAAATGAATATTACTTTGTTGAAATAGCTTTGCGTCATTAAACTTTGTACTTAATTGAAATTATTGTTAAAAATTAAACAATTTACACTTTATTTGTATCGTGACGTCATTGGTCAATGTTTATAAGATTACATACGAATAATTAGTCTATTAAAAATGATGATTCTAACACTTCAATATTTAATTAGCAAATAATAACATATTAATTCATTAATTAATTATCATACCTACGTTATCAGACCAAAAGACGTAATAAATATTTTTACATGGAACGGTTTGCATGTTAATAATAAAGTTTCCATGTTCGTTTTACAATAGTTTTTTTTTTATATTTTATATGCTTTTAACTTATATTGTGTATGAAAGACAAAAGGACTTGTTTTCTCCCCACGTGAATTAGACTCACGGATTATTCGCACATTAAATTTCAATATCAATTATGTACCTACTTATTTAGTTTATGTAGCGGCTATAAACCGGTGTTCAAAGTTTAATATATAAATAATTACCAGAGCTGTTCAAAGTACTCAACAAAAGTACTTGAAGTACATACATTACTTCAAGCACTTGCATATACTTGAAATACTGAAAATACTTCGAGTACTTGAATATATTTGAAATACTGAAAATACTTCCAGCTTCCAGTAACCTATTTAATAATTTGAAATACTGCAGATTAACAAAAGTTTTTTGTTTCCTAAATAAGCTTAATGCATTTTTTAGTTGACATTGAAAATAAGCTATTAATTTATAACAAAAACATCGGCGCTGTATGGTATTTTATCAGCCTTCTGTTGCCTTTTTTTAATAAGTACTTTGAATTTTGGTTCACCACCAAAACGTTCTGATTTTTTAATAAAGTTGTGTTAAAAATATATGAATTTTATGAACAGGTTCCGTGTTTAAGTTTGCGGGTAGTTTACAGCACCCTTAATCGTTGCATGCTCGTGACATAAAAATGTAATGTATGAATTTTTGAAATAAAAAATTAAATTCCTAAAATGAGAGTCCATTTTCAGCGAAAACTATAACTCTTGAAAAATATCAAGGTGATCAAAGTAATGAGTCGGAAGCGGCCACTAACCCTTTTGGGTCTCTTTACCTGTTATTGTAAATACAAATGTAATTTCAGTACTTCTGTAACCGTCCTGTATTAAATATCGAAACCGAGCACTGTCTATTATTTCGCCCACAACAAAACAAAGGTCCTTCAAGCAATATCAAAGTACAATTCGGTACTCATCAAAACCATACATGGCCGTATCAACTGGATTACAAAAAACATTGGTACTACGAGTTGAGTTGCACAAAACATTCAGGCTTCTTACTACTGACAAATACACGGCGGGGTTAATAAACTAATGAAAGAATAAATATCTTTTTAAACGGGTACTGAATCATTTCTCAAATATTTTCAAATCCGACCTTGCATTGTAGCAGGTACGTCAACGAACCCGATCCCCTTTGGGGTACTGGGAAGGTACTTACTGAAAAACTACCCGTAAAGTTAAGTTCCAGACCAGTCGATAAAATCAATATATTCAGAGCTTTACATCGCTGAAAATTTTACACAGATTCGACCCTTCTGCTGTCGTCATCCACTCTCAAATGACATATTTATGACATTAATTTTCTTACCTACCTATCTGCATTATGCAAGTACCTATGAAATATACGTCGTATTGTGGATAAGATATCGACAATCACAGGTTCACAGATCAAAATATAACCTCACAGGAATTGATTATACAAACAAGTATTTTATAGTTTAAAATGAATTCCTCTCACATTTCAAGTTTCTAATTTAATTAAATATAAATAATAATTGTTTAATCATCTCTGAACTATTATTTGTTATGAAAACAAACATATTTCTTTTTTACTGAAGATTTTCGAGAAGCGGTGCGGTATTTCTTCACCTCTTCGCATTTTTGACCTCCTGTTTCACTCGGGTTGCATCCGAGTTTAACTCAACTCGTAAATTCAACAACACGGGATCCATGTTTAAAAAAATGAATTAATTCTCATCCATCTTATAAAGTGTAATAATAAGTAATCAGAATTAATTTTTACTGCTACAAAACATTATCACTGCATTAACGCATGATAAACGCTGTAAACAATTTAAAACATAAACTAAGTATTTCATTCTTACGCCACGTTATCTTTTCATAAAAAAAAAAACTTATTTTTAGTTATAATTAAAAATCACTTGAAGGTTAGGTTGCTTATTATGTTATGTCATTTCTATTATTTAATTAATCAGAATATTCTTGAGTAACTGAATTTTTTCGTAAAATGGGACTAAAAATAAATACAGAATTTGTATAAGCATTAAAATGATAATGTAAATGAGGTAAATAAATTTAATAAATGTTTCCAACAAAACAATGTTATACAATTGTGTCGCACTTTTCCACATTTCTGCAGTCCTAATAACACGGAAGGTAGAATCGAAGTTTAAATTCTAACAACCATAAACGACTAGCGTTACGATTGTGGGCAACGTCAAAAATTTATTGTGATGACAACCTGAGGTTAGAACGAACCGAAAAAAGAGACGTGTATAAACGAGCCTTAACGTAATAGATTTATCTAATAAATAATCAACAAAACATCTGGATTTTAAATTTTATTTATTTACCTACCTAAAATTAAAAAAGAAATATGTACAAGGATATACTGACAAATAATAAACATTCGTTCATCTTTGCAAAATTTCGCAGATTCTCAATTTTCCAATTTTTTTCACTTCGTTAATCGCAAGCTCCGTTTCCTCTTCAATATTATTTTCGATTCGCGTTTCCATTTCAGAGAATATCGTGAAAACGTCTTTGTATTCTTTTCCGTAGGTAACGAATGGAAAGCCGAATTTTTCCCTGTAACTGAGAAACGAATGAGCTGTTTGCATACGAAACACCAAAAAGAATGTTATTTTAAAATTACACACGTAATTTTTCTACGACCTTTTTACAACAAACACGTTTGATAAAATTTAAACTAGTGTTTCTTCTCCGAGGCCGTAGAAAAAGCAATGTGAGGTATTTTGTACCGTTTATTCAACTGTCCCAACTTCTGTTTATCCTCAATGGTCAGTAGATCAGCTCCAGAAATCCTCTGATACTGTTCAATGTGTAACATAAATTTACTCAAATCAGCCAGTTTGGCCACTAAATCTGGATACAATTGCAAAATGTTTTGTTTTTCTGAAAAAAAAAGGGCAAAAGTCAAAGATAATTCAATAATTTTTTGCGTTCAATATTTTTTACAATCAAAATCTTGTGTTTATTTGTTTGAGATAGAAGAATTCGAGAAATTGTATATCACCTCAGTGTTTATAAAACATTGATAGCTAAAATACGCATAATAGCTGATAAACGTGTAACGTGACATACTGTATACAATAAAAGAATATTAACCTTCTTGTCATTTTATCAGCATTTTCACGTCATTAATGTGTGATTTTATTATCTGGTGACTCTATTTTTAACAAGTCAACTTTTTTTACTTCATTAATAAGACAATAAGAGTCACTATTGTTTTAAACTTTAGTACATTTCCGATTTTGGTAAAATTTTTACTTTCATCAAGTTGAACTTTTACACGGAAATTAAAAATTTTCGAAATTATAACTACTTAATTTTAAAAATAAATATGTGAATTTTTTAAACCATAAAGAAATTTTTGGAAATAAAAATTTCCGACTTACCCCTCAAGCTCAGTTTGTCCAAAAATTTGTTAAAAGCGACTGAAATATCCCCAGCGTTTTTGAATGGCCTACATCTGAGAATCCCGATGGCTGCAGCGGGGTAGTGTTCTACGACATTTCCGAAAATCTTGATGAAGTGTTCACTTATGATATTGTTAACTTCTTGTATCGTCAGTATTGTCATCGGCATCTTGCTAGCACTACGTTACATGCATATTTTGGCTGCGATTAGGTAAACCAGTTTATTTTATGGTAATATCGTAGCGACCTCTTTCTTTTATTGTTGTTGTATATTTAACACTGATAACCTTATGAGACATTAGTGCTGTACTTGATTTATTTACTGTGGTCTTCACTAAATTGCTAGATGCGATAAGGGCGAGGACTTCCCGGTTGGTGTTAATAACATTCAACGAGGGGAAAATTGGAGATATTTTTAGGTCTTCCTTGTTGCATGTTTGTGCGTCACGTATTTTTAAAAATTTTGGGAAACTTGTACATAAAACTAAAAATGATATCTACTGGAAGCGAATCTTAAATCTATCTAGATTTTTCATTTCAGTAATTTAGCAGTAAATATTGTTTACTTATATTATAAACGTGAAGGAGACATTAATTTCAGTATATTTCCGGTAAAAAAAATTGTTAGTCATTAAAGTTGAATTTTGCATTTAAGAGCAAAGTATGGCATGTTACTACACAACGCGATCAAAACCCATAGATTAAATATTATATTTTTCTGCCTTCAGTTCCACCTATCCCTAACTTTTTAAAGAATAATCGTGTCATCAACCCAGAAGTGGCGCCTCATAAATGACGAAACATAATCAAAATCTCGCATAATTCTAATCAGTGACCTTTTGGCTTCTAGAGTTGAGAGTTATACCTATTAAGATAAACGAATTTGTGGGTGTTTCAGTGCTCTACTACGCCATTATTTCGGCAATCTTACGATATCTCATGTTCTCCTTGAAGAAAATTGCCATTACACTCATGGAATAATTCATATTTACATATCGAAATTGTTTACTGATATTCCCATCCGATAAAATGGCAACTCTGCAAAAATTGGCTTGAAATTGTGTTAGTTGCATTTGACGGATAAATGAAATTTTAGCGCAAACATCAACAAATTGGGTTTATCAGCATGTAGTGTTGTTTCAACAAGGATAGTTAACAGACGATAAAGAAGAAAGATCAGAGTATCGTTTATTAATTAAAAAAAAAAAAAATGATTTTGAGACCAAGGTGCAAAATACACACACGAGATGCAATTTTGTGCAAATATGATAGATAAAAAAAATGTTGTCCTATAACCATATTTCTGTATTAATTTGAGAATAAACTTTTTAAAAATTTTGGGTACTGGACTATTAATACTACGCGAACAAAAATTGTCAGAAAATTTAATTTTTTGATGGTATAAATTATTATTATAGTTTTAATCAATAACTAGGCAAATATCTAAATAAATTATGAATTTTGACCCAACCGCAAGATTTTTCACATATTTTCGTAAATTTTGCATATTTTGACAATTTTTAGATTTTCAAAGCATAACGCGAACTTTTTATTGCAAGTGTCGGCGTTTTTAACCTTTTTTTTATTCGAGGATTGGTCCATCTGGTCAACTCATTGTCGGTTACTACTTTTATTTGAGGCGGACTTAGGTATTACCATTTTATGACGGTAGCATTCTTCAGTAACAGGGCCAACCCGAATTTGCTTGTTTACAATACCGTAACTACCTGAATAATGCAGTTTAACAAGAATTTTCTTCAAAATGGAATAATGCCAGAAATAAGAATAGTTTATGACTGAACAAACTTTGTGAGGGAGTAGGTAGTTGGATAGGTTTCTACGAAATATAATTTTGAAATTTTTCAAACATGCCGAAAATGAAAAATTGCTTATTGGTGGTGTCTTGGATAAAAAAATTTCCAGAACTTATTCTACAAGAAGAAAAAGTTTTTTGTAAAGCATGTAGTAAAACAGTAAGTTATGTTTGTTATTAATTTTTTACAAAGAAATCATACAAAAAACTGACTAAACTACTTTTTTTAATCATATTTACAATCGCTTAATTTTTCAATATCTAACCAAAATGGCTCAACAATCTTTAAAACAAACACTTCAAGCAAGTACCACGAAAAATGAACAGCAAAAATTTAATTCAGCGTTATGTAAAGCTTTCTTGTCTGCTAACATTTCATTTCAAAAATTGCAAAATCCGAAAGTAAAAACACTTTTTGCAGAAATGTGTGGTCGTACTGTACCGAATGAAAGTACTTTGCACAAGAGTTATGTAAATGACCTTGCTTGCAAGCAATTAGAGAAAACTAATTTTAGTTTTTAACAATAATAATAATAATAATAACAATAATAACAATGTGTTTATTGCCCAACAGCTCATAAGAACCTATTACAGAGCAGTTGATATAAACTAAAGTATTATCAATACAAAAAAAGAAAAGTAAATAAATAAGTACAAATAAATGAGACAATGTGATGTAAAATAACAAACTAATTAATTACTGATATGAATAGGTATTTTCTAGGCTCATAGGTATAACAATTAAAATAAAATTGGAATTTCAAAAGTGGCAGCATAACGAAGAGTTTAGTTAATATCCATTTTTGTAGGTACATGATAACAGTTAATTTTAATAACAAATGTGGACATAATAATTGAGTTGAGATATAAACATCTTCAGAAACAATCCGGTGATAACTAGTAAAATATTCAGTTTTCCATACATGGTTTTAAATATTGTTGGCAACTAGCAAAATTCGTGGAAGATGTATCTTATCTTTTTTCTGTAAACTGTGTAAATGATATCTACCAGAATCGGCGTAGCGCAAACAAGAGAACTATTGTAATACAATCCATCGGGCAAACGGCTAATTTCATGTTTTCTTGACGTTTCATATCTCCTGAAACAAAAAAGTTGGTTTCCGGATGTGTTGATTTTTATTTTATAGATAACTGGACGGATTTTATTGTCAAATTTTATATGTATTTTAGGAAAATCGGGTAGAACGTTATTTAAATTTTATAAAAGAACAATATCCCTACATTTGTGGATTATGAATCCGTCTTGAAGTTTTATCTTAGACATCCAAATTTTTAACTTTGAAATTGCAAAGCCTAATGCACTGAAATCCTGCAAATATTTCAAAGTTTTAGTAAGTATAGTAAATCGTTAATCAAAATTTACACATTTATCCCAAATTTTACAACTTTTTGAAAATGCTGAATATGTTGTACTGTACTTCAGGAGCGAGGGAAGAATCTTTGACCAATTTTCATTTTAAAATTTTAAAAATACAAGAGAAATTAAATTCCTATATGCAACCAACTATACACGCAGTTGATCAGTTTCGAACACAATCTCTGGCAGGATTTATTAAAAGTTTTAATTCGAAGCAAGTACATTATCAGTGACTATGTATTTAACATCTATACTCACTGACATTATGTTAATAAATATAACGCCCTTGGTTGAAATTGAAAATGTTCGTTTTAGACTATTTTTAACGTTTTGTATTCCAGTTAAAATATCTTGTAATGATTTTCGTTCTAACGCACTGTTTTTAGTGTTGGTAATATTTTTCTATTTTGTGGTTTGAAATAGTTAAAATTTAGTTAGTTAGATTACTGATCCTTGCATTACATTCTAAATACGATATTATTTATGTAAATTTTGTCAGTGCGTACGCAACCAGATAAACACGGACAAAATGTAATGTGTAAACTTTAAATACATTAAAACCAACATTATCAGCCAAAGAATATATTCTAAAATATTTATTACTTGTAATAACTGTACACAATGATATTAATTGCAAAAAATAATAGTTTAAAATGGCAGGTATACAATAAAAAAAATCACAAGTAGTAACATTCACTCTGCCAAAAATCGATTAGGATAAAATCTTAGGCCTTCAATTGAATCATCTCGGCATGACTTCCCACACTTCTCAGCCGTAAGTAACCTTTCTTTAGCTATAGTAAAAGAAATTCCCAGAGCCTGAGCCAATTCTTCGGACGACAATGAACCTTTATCATCAAGCTACAAAATGAATGTCATTAGTAAGACTGCAATAACTACTCAATCAGTTACCAAAATCGCTGTCGCCTCTGCAACACTTTCACTGTCCAAAGTAGAAAGCTGCAAAACTCTCACTCCAGAACTAAACTCAAACAACTTCAAAGGCAACTCCATGGACTCCATTATTTGACAAGCATTCAAAATATCTTCTGGAGACAGCAATTCCAACCCTCTCGCTCTATTAATTCTACAAAATACGTCCGTCAACGCCATCATACCCCCCATTTCTTCAATATGTGACTGCAAAAAATCGCAGATTTGTTTAGCCAAGCTTCTGTAGTATTGGTTATCAGTTTTGTATGAATTCCTAGTAACTGGATCATCGATACCTAAACTCAGTAGGTATGATTTGAAACGCACAGTCTCGTCCTCTGTGATGTCGCCTTGTCTTTCCTAGAAATAAAAATTAATCACTTGAAGCTAAATATAACTTCTTTTGTACTTTAATCTTTGTAGAAATTGTCCTCGATATCTGCACCATATCCTTCGCCATGATCATCAGCTTACTTAAATCTTGAAAAGCCACTGATATGCTTTCATCTGCGGCTTTTTGCTTTTCTTGCAAACTGCGTTCGATGCCTACAATTCCAGTTCGCAGTTTTATCTGTGGGGCGTGTTTTTGGGGTTCTACAGCGGTTGGTTGTGGAAAGATTTCCCAATGTTTTCGCTGGATACAATCATTGAGTATGCCTGTCACGTTTGAATTAAACCCTTCTCTGAATGATAATTTTATAAAGTTGTAAATGCTAGTCTGTTGTGGTTTGTCTTGTTCATCTGTACGAATATAGGTTAAATGTTATTAATTATAAAGTGAAACTTACAATCTGTTGGTTCTGATAAATGCAAGACGACTTTTCTAGAGCGGCTGAAGCTGAAAGCACTTGGGGATTCCTCTTCAATGTAGACGATTAATGCTAAATTTAAAGCTAGGCAGGTTTGGCCTTTCGATATTGCACCAGGGCGCCCCCACAGTATTCGGTGTGTGGTTATAATGAGTTCGCCGCCTTCAAAGGATGTCTAAAAAGACGAATTGAGTCTTTTTAGAGAAGAATTTTTATTACAAGTGAAATTTACCTTTTGATCACCATCATACAATCTGACGTTTTTTTCGCTGGTTAGAGTTGATTCATTGTCTAGAAGTAAAGGAGTTGTGTATTTCCATCGGTTCATTTTAATTATTTGTTATTTTACAGCATTTTTCTAAAATTGTTTAAATTTGTTGATTGAATTTTGAGACGTCACTTTGACAACTCTGTGACAGTTGACAATGACAGACAGCTGCGCCACCATATTTATTACATCAAAAATTACTAGAATATCTACAAACGTACAAAACTGTAGAACAAAAAGTAAGAATAATAGAATTATAGAAAACGGATTTTGTTCCAACGTAAAATAAAAAAAAATAAATAAATATAAGATTCATTTTAATTACTTATGTAAACGATATGTAAATAATCAGATAAATTCATTCAGTGGATGCAATCGCTACCACAGAGACTTTAATACATAGACTGGCTGTGTCAGGAAAAACGTGAAGTTTTTCGACCGCCATATTGCTTATAACCGTAAGTGCGCGAAATTTGAATTTTCCGGTCACAAAATGCAATTTAAAATGTTAAATAAAAAAGACAACAAATCGTAATTATTTATTTAGCATAATAATATCTATATGTATATGTAAATTCCTTTAAAAATATTAATGTCCTTGAAACAAAATTAATTTCGTGAATTTTTGTCTTAAAGAGATAGCTTTTTCACGCTCAGTACTTAAGCGGCACTCATAACCTATTCCGAGAGTCAAATAATTTCTCAAAATAAATTTAAGCAATAAATTAAAATAAGAATTATTTACGTCCAACTAATCCATACTAAACAAATGTTCATTATGTAGAAAAAAAAAAATGTATGGTCCTACTTTGCAAAGTTAGGGCAAACATTTTAGTTACCAAATCATTTTTAATGGCCATATTTACAAACAATCTCGTAAGTCCCGACACACAAGCACTTTTATTTCGAGGTCTAGAAACGTTCTGTGCTAGAAACTACTGCTGCTAACCACCACAACCTCACTTAATTTGACATAAAAGTTATAGCAATGGCGTCCATACTACCATGCGCCGTGGCTTCACCAAAATGCATTAGAAATGTTACTAACAGCCAGTCTATGTATTTAAAGTCTTTGCGCTACCATCAGAGGTTTGAATCGTTATATTCCTTCCTCCTCTACCCATTGATATCTCTTTGGTATACTTTGTTATTCCATTACATACTTGTTCAAAAAATGCGTCTTTGATCTTACTGGCACAATATTCATTTCTTATAACATATTCCCGTAACTGTCATACATACGCATGTACATATATATTTAGGTATTATAAAATAATTCTTTCATGTGGTTGTATGCTTCCTTATTAGTCTTCTGGAAACTCTTTGTTGAGCTTTGTATTCTCTTTAGGTACTCCACTATATACAGGCGATCAAATTTACGTACCTACCCAAGTTTTCTGAGTCTTGCTCATTCTTTTTAGCTTCTATAATCACTGCTACATCTACGTTGAGATGCCATAGGGGGACGTGCTCTCTCGGGTATACGGGCTTGCTTCCCCGATGGCATGGGAAGAACCAGAAGTATAATAATCTAATGAGTAACAAAAACAGGGAAATAGTAAAATAACAACAAAACCATAAAAATTGGGAAAACTATTACCAAGAAGCTGTTGATAAAAGTAGCGTCAAACGGAAAGAAATATTGTCTTTGCCATTTCTATTGAAACACCACCTGTTGATTTTGCTTAAAATTTAGCAATTGGTAACAGCTTTCGGTTGATTGACAACGGCTTCTAATTCGAAAATTGTCTGAATATGAACGTTGCCAAATTTACGATTAACAGGTGGTGTTTGAATAGAAATGGCAAAGACTATACGAAAATGTCAGATTATTATTTCAGAAATGTATCAATTGAAATAAAATACCCAGACAATGGAAAATATCATAGGTATGTAAGCACTAACTATATATACAAAGAGTGGTAAATACCGAGGAACAGCGGTGAGTATCAATTTTAATCTAGAAATAATAAAAGCTGTCAAACCTCAAACCCATAACGAACATATTAAAAGAAAACAAATAACAGGATGTATTTTATCGAAGAAATTAAATGTTTGATTGTGCTTGATGGACGTGGGAAGCTCTAGGTTCAAAATTTTAGAACCTTTTTTTTCATTTTTACGTACGAAAATATCAACCCAGTTTAATAATAATAAAATATGAACACAAAGTAGTTTATAATAGAAAACAACAGTCATAATGTATCTATTTTATCTTCATATCGTTGAACCCACTGCAAAATAGAGAGACCTTGTCCATACGTACTTCCAATATTAACATCTGCTCCATTCTTCAATAAGAACTTAACAATTTCAAAGTACCAACCTTTTGCTGCTAACTGTACTGCTGCACATTCGCTTTTGGTGTCTACAACATTAACGGTTGCGCCACATTCCACCAAAATCATCACAATTGTCAATGAACCAACATCAGCAGCTAAGTGAAGAGCAGTTCGTCCATCTGCAATGTCTACAACATTAACGTCGATTCCTCTTTCAAGAAGAAGTTTAACCAGATCTACGTGTTTCCCTTCTGCACTGAAATGGAGTGCCGTTCTTCCGCTGCTATCAATTGCATTAACATTTGCTCCTTTATCCAACATGATTCCAACTATATCAACCCATCCTAAACCAGAAGCCAAGTGAAGAGGTGTTTTTCCGTCTTTTACGCAAACTGTATTAACATCGACTTCTTTTTGTAAAAACAAAGCGACGACTTCTTTAGACGGTCTTTGTAGAGCAAAATGTAGAGATGTGAGCCCATTTACGTTTTGGGCATTAATATTTACCTCTTTTTCAAGCAGAAAAAGAATAAGCTCGGTTAAACCTTCACTGGCCGCTAGATGAAGAAGTGTGTTGTCATCTTTCGAAGCAACGTTGATATCAGTTCCACTGTCAACGAGATATTTAACAACGGAAGTGTGTCTTCTGTCCGCTGCTAAATGAGCAGCATTCTGTCCGTCAACATCTAGTGCGTTTATATCTGCTCCTTTTTGAACCAACAGTTTTACCATATCCACTGAACCCTGTTGAGCTTGCAAGTGTAAAACTGTTCGCCCTTGTCTAGTTTCGGCAATATTAACATCTGTTCCTCTATTTACAAGAAGAGTAACGACACTGTTGAAACCTCTTTCAGCAGCTAAATGGCAAGCAGTTTCTCTTCGAGTGTTAGTTATATCAATATTAACACCAGCATCTAGTAAATAGTTAACTATGATTAACGATTCACACTCAGCACCTAAATGGAATATAACCTGTTGCGTTTTTTTATCAATGTTAGACAGATCAGTACCGGCTTCCAATAAAAGTTCCACAATTTCCGTGTATCTTAAATCCGCTGCTAGGGAAACTAAATCCGGAGCTAACACATCTTTAATTCCTTTTTCGAGAAGGATCTTTACAATTTCTGTACATCTGTTGCTAACTGCATGACGAAGACTTTTCTTGTTAATATGTGCTGCTTTATCGACAAGAATTTTAACAAGTTTTGAATTGTTCCTTTTGACTGCTATTTCTAGAACAGATTCTCTTGATCCAGGTACGTTTGGATTTGCTCCATTCTCCAGTAAACTAGTTGCAACAGATATTCCACTAAAATATGCCGCAATATGAAGGGCACTTTCTCCGTCCTTGTTTACGGCATTAACATCTATTCCTTTGTCGAGTAAAATATCAATAATTTTAAGATACTTCCGTCTGCAAGCTAAATGAAGAACTGTTGCTTCATTTTCATCAAGCACGTTGACATCTACTAGTGTTTCTGGTGCGTTTAATAATACGTAAAGGATATCATTAAACTCGTTCTCCACAATCGTGAAAATAACTCTCTCGTCACAGATTCGTGCTTCGTTTGCTGTCAAAAACTGCACTATTTCGGTAAAACCTTTCTCACAAGCTAAATCAAGAAGTCCTGGTTGGTCGACATTTGCCCCATGTTTTGTAAGAAGTTTCGCAACATCAGCAAATCCATTATCAACCGCCAAGTGAAGAGGAGTTTGCCCGTTTTCGCTTTCTAAATTCACACCGGCACCCTTGTTGAGTAAAATTTGAATGATGTTGCAGTTAGCAGCTTCAACAGCGAAATGAAGAGCAGTTTTTCCTTTTTTGATATCTTTTAAATTAATGCTTTTTGAGCTAGCATCAAGTAATGTTTCTACTAAACTAACAAAACCCTTTTTAGTAGCGATGTGAAGTGCGGTTTGTCTTTTATTATTGACACAATCGACGTCAATCCCTTTACTTATTAAGAACTCAACAGTTTTTAAATAATTCACAAGGGAAACTAGATGTAGAGCTGTTTCGTTATTTACATTTTTCAGATTGATATCAATTTGTCGCTCTAGTAATGATTCAAGAATCTCAATATATCCTTTTGCAGCAGCTAGATGAAATATAGTATTCCCTTCGAAATTTGCTATATCAAACCTTGCACCCACTTCTAGTAAAAAAATTACTATTTCCGGATATCCGTTTAAGGCTGCTAGATGAACAGAAGTTTCTCCTCTTCTTGTATCTGCAGCATCAAGATTTGCTCCCATTTCCACTAAAATTTTAACCACGTCAAAATTTCCTCTCTCCGCTGATACATGAAGAGGTGTTTGTCCTCTTGCAGCATCTTTGATGTTAACATCAACTTCATTGTCAATCAGACAACAAACTAAATCGAATAGATTTTTACTTGCGGCTAGATGCAGAGGATTTTGTTTAGTTCGCACATGAACAAGCTGGTTACTTATTGGTAATAAATATTTAACTGCTTCTATGCGATTCTTGTAGATGGCTCTATGCAAAGGCGTATGTCCATTGATGTTTGGTTGATTTACGTCAGCCCCAGATTGTACTAAAATCTTGATGATATCAACCACTCCACTGTCTGCAGCTAAATGCAGAGGTGTCAGTTTGTATTTTCTATCAGTAGCGTGTAAATTTGCCCCCGACTTGATTAAAATTTCTAGGACATCTATGTTCGCTCCTTCTGTTGCTAGGTGGAGTGGAGTTCTACCTTTTCGGTTAACGACGTCAATGGGGTGTTCTTGCGACAGTAATATCTTCACACTTTCTTTGTCTTGTCTTTTCACAGCTAGATGTAAAGAACTGTTTTCAAGTGGGTCTGGTGGGTGGTTGTGCATTCTTTCAACTTGATTCTCCATTTTCTTCGTTCTGTAAATAAAAGCTGTATAATAATTAGAAGATAAAATATAAAAAGTCTGATTGGTAAAAAATAGCCAAAAAAGTAGTGGAGCTCGAAGGCTTGTGTTGCTGCAGAAAACACAAAATACATGACCTTTCAATATAGTATTTTTCGTAATGGATATCGATCGAGAAAAGTAGTAGAATAGCTTTTATATTGTTACTGTGGCAATGATGATGCGTATACTATGAATACAAAACACCACATATTGATTACTATAAAATGATAAATATATGCAATATATTAACTATATGTTGTGCAATTATTAAAGCGCTGATTTATTCGGATCCAAATAATTAGGACACTTGGACAAAAAAGTAAAAGAAAAAGTTATGCAAACATTTGTTTTTTGAAAATAAATTTGCTTAAAAAACTGAGAAAATAAGCGAAAACGATACAAAGTCGAGTAACAGATTTCCGCAATGCAAAGTAAGAATTAAAAATCACAGTTTAAAACAAGGATATCCACCAATTTGTTTGAATTCATATTCACAAAATTTCCCTTGTGATCATCGAACAAATTATGACGTATTTCAGCAAATATCATATGATGTAAATTTCAAAAAAAGTTCTCTAGTACATCATAAAATGTAAATATTTTTAAAATAATGATCTTCGTAACACTAATAAATAGATGTGCTGCCAACAGTGTTATTTTCAAAATAGATTTCATGGTCTACTAGAGGTCTTTTTTTTCTATCATATGGACGTTTTAAATGGATGGCATTAAGAGCAGTCCCCAGCAAAAGTAACTGTAAAATCCGTTTGAGTCTGACAAGCTGTCAGTAGTGTTCACCACCTACCCTGAGTGTCGTATAATCATTAGGATAATTTACAATGTTGCCTGCTGCCGATCCCAGCTTTCGGATTCTGACCAAGTAAATTTTATTTTATCTAGTCTGTGCCCCGAAGTTTCTGGCAGCCGAATAGATGATTGTACATACAATGAATAAATAATAACAATAAATAATTAATTCTAATTTTCTGCGTTGTTAAACGTAAAAATAAACACAAATAGATAGATAACACATATTTGAAAACATTTAATAATTACAAAATTCATGTTTGATTTGACGTTTTGGTGAACTTTTTGCAGCAAAAATGTTTATGAGAGTGGAAACATTATTTTAAATGCATTTTGTCAAAATGTACTTTATTTTGACCAATTTATTACGAAAGAAGTTATCTGCTTATTAAAAAAATTGGTCGAAAGTTGTTTCGACAGAACTTCCCTCGCTCCTGAAGTAGGTACAATGAAACATATCCAGCATTTTCGAGTTGAGTTTTTCTTTACACAATTTTGTGATGACGTCATCAACATTTTTGCAAGGACACGTAGATTAACTTGGAATGTGCAGAGTATTACTAAAAATAACACTAATGTATTCTCAAAATTTTCTGGGAAAATGGAGTGATTTAATCAATAAAATAAATTGTCTCATTCATTTTTTTTGAGCCACTTCTTTAGGCAAATCTAAAAAATCCCAAGTGAAAGCCCATCATATTTTGCACATTTTGAGTAGGAGTAGAATTTATTCGGCAAAATCTTGAAATGACTTTGTGGAAGGAATAAACAGATATATTTTGGTTAACAATTTACCATGCTTACAATAAATTTAAAACGTCTACAAGATTGCAAAGTATTCAGTTTTGCAATTCTTCATTTATTTAATAAAATAAATTGACTGATTCATTAATTTTTTTTAATGACCCTGTACATTGATTAAATACATATATGTATTTAATCAATGCCCTGTATAAGCAAATCTGAAAAATGAGGTTCTTAATTTGATTAATAAAAAACTGGTCGAATGCTATAAGCATAATCCGACAAATCCAGCTCTTAAAAAATATATAAAATTTGATTTTCCGCTTTTCCTTTTGTGATAAACGCTGTAAAGTAAACACGATAGGCATAAATAACATTCCTTGTCCTCCAGCACTAATAGCAATCTGACGCTCAAGTGTTTATTTATGTTTATAGATCGAAAGAATGTCACGTAGAAATTAGTTTGAATTATACTATTCAGATCATTTTGGTCGATTGAGATTTAATTCAAATCAAACTAATTTCTACTTGCCATTCTTTCGATGTATAAACATAAATAAACACTCGAGAATGCTGCATATGTTTAATTGTACTTTAGGAGCGAGGGAAGTTCTGTCGAAACAACTTTCGACCAATTTTTTTTTAAGTTTAACACTTTGAACAATAACATTATATATATACAAAATTAGCGTCCTACAAATTATACAAAAATAAAATAAAAAAATTACTCAAATCAATGTTTGTACAAAAAAGAATGATTGTAGGAAATAGTACATACAATCCGTTGTTGAATGAATATCAGAATTAACTATATCATTCTAGATTCATATGCATGATAACAATCTGTTCATAAACAGAATTTCCCTCGTTCTTTAAAGCGCGGTCAATACGTTAACTTTATTTCAGTTGTACAAAAATTTTCGGTTTTATTGGTTTTTATTGAGCAATTTGCGAAACTGAATTCTTCTAAATAGCACTAGTCTTTTTTAATACTAAAACCAGCAATTTTTTTAATATCCTTTTACAAACCACTGTAATAGAAAACGACTTCATTTTTTAATCTTTGATATGAAAAGCAGTTAAAATAATACTAATTGGTTATGAGAGAACTGTAAACCAAGAACACTTATTATAAAAATAAATATGTAGTGTAAAGGCCAGGTAGCGGGTGAGCACATTCTTAAAATTACTTCCTTCCCAAGTCGATATCTGATACATAATACCTGTAGAATAATTTCTTGGCTGGCAACTGTAGGGTTGATGAAAGTGCATACACCCTACTTACCAGATCCTCACAAAATAAACCGTCCGTACTTTCCCATTATAAATCTTCAACAAGGGTTCAGTTTATGAGGTTTGTGGCCAACTGTTAAGGCTTGCGTCTGGTTCGGTTTAGCCCTATACTAAATACATTGAAAACATCGTCGCGGTTTCCGGAGTTGCATTTTAAAAATATGAGATATATCGCTTTAAAAAAATTATATTTCGAATTAACAAACTTCAGTTCAGGGGACCTCCATATTTATTTTCATATTTAGTATGCAGTTTTTACAAAAAAAAATTATAAAGTTGAACAACTTTTACATCACATTTTAACCGGCACATTTATGCATTTTTTGACGAAGTGCTGAAGTTTTTTGCATTCTGAGATAGGAGGTCCCCTGGGGAAAAGTGTCAGCTTTCTTTTGATACCATTTATAATATTAAAAAATCCACGACTGAGGTAACTAACTCGCGAAAAGTCAAAATCTATTGAAACGAGAAATCGGCATTAAACGAGCTGTGATGCGGTAGCAGAATACAGGTTTACTTAGATTCTGACTTGGTTGGAGATTTCAGTATTTTAAAAATGCAATTCCGGAAACTACGACGATGTTTTCAATGTATTTAGTATTGGGCGAAACCGAACCAGACGCCACCCTTAATAGCACATTGTAAATCTTAAAATGTTGCCGAAATTTTTCATCGAAAATCTATTAAAGCTAATATCTCACTTATTTACGAAAATTCTCAAGTGCGCTTGTCGTCGATGTTTTTCCATTAGTAAACTCTAGGTACGTCCCGGATGAAACTCTTGATTATATTTACCGAAAACGAGATACAGCGAAACCAACTTCTTCAGCACAAACATGGTTTTTATTTAAAGAAAATGGTACATTATTTTTGAAAATTGAACCGGTACGTTTTTAGAGAAAGTTGTGAACAGCTTATCTTTCAAATTTCAACGACATGTGTATACTAGTAATGGAGATATTACATTATGAAAATGCATTGAAAGTCCCATAAGAGCTAAACGTAGGGACTGGCCTTAAGTGCTGCTTAGTATTTTATTTAAAATTTGCACAGTATTTTTATTTAAATTGTCACGTAACTCGTGTATTTAATTTTTGGATATGGTTATAGATATTACGAAGGTTGCAACTGGATTAAAAGAAAATGTGACTGCCTAGAATTTTTCAATCCAATAATTTGTAAACACGTTGTGGGTCTAAACCGCTTTCTGAAGCAAAAACACACAAAATGATCAAATTTAACTTCGTGAATTTTATTACGATTATTTTTTTATGATGACCCTATGAGTTGAAGTTAATAGAAGTGTGGATCGTTAAAGTAAGGAAGCATCATACGCATGTAAATTTGAATAGGTGTACTGTAATACTATTTATAACAGTGCTGTATTTTCAAATTTTCAAGAAAATGGGATGGGTAATAAGACATGTCGCCTCATTCATTAATTTTTTAATCACCTTGCATATATAAGCAATTCACAAAATATGTATGCACTGATAAACATTGATAAGATGACGTCGTAATTAACGATTTAAATACCATATGTTTAACAATTTGCTTAATTTTTTTCTAAGCACGAAATTTTAATTCAAACTGGTACACCACAACTGAACATTTATACTAACTTGTAGTTTACCAATGCATTGATATTTTTTAGAATTACTTATTCAGGGCGACAAAAAAAAATGGTCTAAAGAGTTTAGACAATACTTCCCTCGTTATCGGAAACGTGACGACGGCATGCCTATTATGTTTTTATTCTCATTACATTTTGTAGCGGAGCATTTTAAAAAATTTTTGCGATAACGTCATCAATATTTTTGCAAGGACACGTATATCAGTTTGGATAGATGTAGTGTAATATTAAAAAAAATAATAATAAAAAATAGGGCTAGGCGGTTGAAATTTATGCGCTGTGTATGGACCACGGCAGACCAGTGGCTCGCAACCAATGTTACGCATCGCGAAGAAAGTTATGAGAAAACTAACTTTAAATTATTAAAAATGATGCACAATTGGAAAGCGAGAAGCGAGTAAGGATGAATAAATTTCGCTTTATTTATAAACACCGACGTCATAACAAAACGTAAAATGCTGTTGAATGCGCCAAGGTCATCAAAAAAGGTTATGAGTGCAAAAAATT